CAATACTATATATATTATATATGTATATAGAGAGAGATTTGTGTGAGTGCGTGCACATGTAAGAGTGTCAACAGTTTAGCAATAGAATTCCCTTCTGATACAATAAACAGTATAAAGAAAGTGATTTCTATGTAAAGCTAAGATATTGATCCAGTAACTATTATTGGCTTCTTTCAAATTGGCCATTTGGGTATGTCAAACATCATAGTTTCAGAAGATTCTGCTTGAGGTCAAAAGTGAAAGTAAAAAAGAAAGAGATTACTGTATATCATAAGAGGGGTGTGTGTGTGTGTGTGTGTGTGTGTGCGCGTCTGTGTGTCTGGTTCTTTTCAATGTTTTAAATTAAATTCAGGAACTGTTAAAAATTTACTGCAGATTGACGATAATAGGGGACCAGGAGTCTGCAGAGGTTTGTTAAAAATGCCAAGATAGGGGTGTGACCATGTGAATGAAGCCCCACCCCTTCTTATGTGCAATGCATGAACATGGAATGCTCCTAAAAAGATGGCTTTGATTACATGATCATGGCTGCCATCCTGACTTTCCTGACACTGTCCTGCAGATGCCCTGACAGGGCACTCCTGGGTCAATGTCATAGCATGGATCAAACCAACTGCAACAAGAGCCTTAGAAGGCAAACGCAAAATGGTGCGAGCAAAGGGAAGGTGCTACTCTTGTTATCAGAAAGTCTCCTATTTTTGCTTTTAAACTTATCAGCTAATTCTTCCATTTATAGTTAACAATGCACATAGTTACATTTGTGTTATAAACTCCAAGATATTCTCTCAGTGGTAAACATCATTTTGGTGATTTGAAGTGCAATACAGAAGTGTCCTTGATAAGAAGGCTTGGCTTTTCCATGTGTGCATATGTGTGTGTTTCTTATTCGGCCTTGGAATAGTTTTGTTTTCAACATTTTTCTTCTTCCCATTCTCCTTTTCTTTCTAATGGAAAAAAAGAAATAAAAATAAAAGGCCATGTCCCCTAATCCCCCCCCCCATTTCTTTCTGAAGCATAAAAGCAAATAATATTCTGAAAAGTCTACTACAATAAAAATGTGAGAGAAGAGATCGCCGAGGAACGGACGTTGCCTTCCCAGGAGCGGTTTTTCTGGGCACCTGGCACTCTCCAGGAAAGCACAAAGGCGGGCAGCGTGCTGGGCTGCTTCATTCTGGTAGAAAACTGTAAGAGTTGGTGGCATGGTCCATTGTCCAAGGGCATCAGAAAAGGAGCAAATTGGCTGTTCTGTTCTTTTTCAATAGCTAAAAGACAGTCAGGGCTGACTGGAGCCAGGATTATCTGCAGTGTCTTTGCAGGAGAAAGACCAAAGCGATGAGAAGCCCCGTGAGGACGGATGGGCGGGGCCGGCCGGCCGAAGAGTCCACTTCCCTCCTGTCTGAGTCAACGAGAGGAGCTTCTGTGGTGATGAATTCAAACTCTGTTGGACAAATGTCATCTGTACAGCCACTTCCACTACCTGAACCGCTGGTCTCCTCGCCTGTAGGGAGCACGGAGAGGAAGGGAGAAATCAAGGGAGAGGCTTTAGAGAACAGCTCTTGTTTCTCAGTTTGGTTTCAAACAGGGCTGTACATGGCCCAAAACACGGAGAATGAAACAGCTCCAGACAACTTTCATGGTCCAAGAGCTACTGCCTGATGGGTCTGACTGCACCGCTTGGAGGACCATCAGATGGTTCTGAGCTCCTTCCCAGGACCTCATAGCAGGTCCTGCATTGGTGCTACATGTGGAACAGAGATCTGCTGGGGTTACAGTGGCTCCCCCAAAGGGACTGAATAGGCCACAAATCACAGCAAACACAAGGACTGAATTATCGGGTTTGAATTTTTGAAAAATATACTGTATGGCTGCCCTTTAAGAGAGTTCACCCTCCCTATCAGAGATATCTACAGGTAGTGGTGGTGGTGGTGGTCAAACAAGTAAAGAGGGCAGCCACCCTCTGGACTTTAGTGACCCCCATGGAACGCCCTCTGCTCCCTTGGCCATTTCTTTTTTAAAATAATACCTATCAGCATCAATGCAGCGTATTCTTTGAAAGGCTTGTGTGGGGAAGCTTTGTAAAAGCGCCAGAAACAAAGATGAAGATGCTGGGACAAGCGGAGGAAGGCTCAGATTTCCTCCTCTCGAAGGTCGAAGATAGTAATAACATTTTAAGGGATGGACTTCAGTGGGAAAACTAAATATGTGCGTGCAGCTCCTCAGGTGGCGCGAATGATTAAAATACCTCACTGAATTACAGCCATTTGTTTGGGCCCAAAAAAAGGACAGAAATGAAATAGCAAACAAAAACTTTGTTAGCAAATTGCAATCTGGATGTTTCCACAAATATAGGGAGAGGTATTGGGATGTTTTTACAGTGAACTCTTAGTCACGTTTACTGAAAAATAACTTCTTTTTTTTCCCAAGGAGACTTATATATCTACTAATATTTCATTTAAAACAGAAAGTTATTTGGTCTTTGCACACATATCATTCACTCAAGGAGAGTTATATATTAAAAATGCAATACAATAATGCCAGAAAAATAAATAAAATATCTAAGTATCTTTTTCTCCTGCAAGAAGCCTCAGAGCAGCTAGTTTCTCATGTGAAAATTGTAGAAAAATAAAAATGCCACTTATGCACATATGAGTGAAGAAAGGGCGTGGATGTCATTTTTTTT